AATCAGGGACTTCCCTTGGTTTGAATATGATCAGTAGCTTCCTTATATGTATGGTGCGAATTATGTGATTTCCCGATCGAAATTCATAGGAATTACTGCGTCGTACGCAAAGGCTCACGTACGCATTTGGAAAAAGTTCATTGGTCCTATTTTGATTATAATACTTTTGTACTCGAAATGAACTTAATACAATGTAAACAACAGTTCTGGGATGAAGTTAGTAATATATTAGTTATAGTTAAAACCATTGGGTCGCAACAATATATATATATATATATATATATATATATATATATATATAAATATGAGTAAGTTGTTCAAGGGCATACATCAAATAAAAGGCAAGATTTAGAAAAAAGACTGCCTCGGAAACGCTCGCAAAAACTATTTCTCCGTGCAAAATATATTATATATTTCACAAATATTTTGCTATACTATGTTCAACAAAAACAAAAAACAAGTTAGGTTTATATATAATAGTGCAAAATTATGTGCCTTGCGCTAGCTACTGATATCCACTGATGATGACATAAATACTATGTCGAAACGTTTGGAAAATTAAAGATTAACTTCTAAATCTTTGCCTTTTATTTGATGTATGCCCTTGAAGAACTTACTCATATTTCTCAACATCAAAACTAACTTCTTTAACATATATAAATATTTATAAATCTCTTTTCATCCCTTACCTGTACCATCCGTCATAACACTCGTCTTCCCTAAAATCTTCGCACTTCATCCCAGATTGACTAAGAACGTAGCCCGGTGGGCAGGTGCACTGGAAGCCTCCTTTGGTATTAGTACATTGTCCAGCCTCACAAATGTCACGATTCTCGTAACATTCGTCGATGTCTTCGCATTGACCACGTTCATTTAACCTGTAGCCTAAGGGACAGGTGCAGATGTAGGAGCCCATCACGTTTTGACACTTGCCGGGACTCTGACAGGTTCCGGGAATCTGGTGATAAATGATAGAGATGGTTAAATGAATTTAATCATTGAATAAGTTTTGCATGAGGTAGAGTTTATTTTTAATATTTTTTGCAAATTAAAAATACAAAATCAAACTAGTGGTGTATGGCTTCGTGCCTGAAGGCAAATTGCTAGAACTTCCCGTACCGTAATGAAATATTCGAGAAATTCTAAACGTTTTCAAATATATTATTACAAATACTATAACTTTAATTATTTTTGTTATATCTGAGCAAATCAAATGTAAATCATAAATAAATCAATTTATCTACTATCAACTATTAACAATTGTCATTTTATTTCGAATTCAATTTCAAAAAAATAGTTGCCTAATTTTACACAAAATTGAAAAAATGCTCCCGAATAATCACAGTCTAAACGCATTTGCAAATGATTCTGTGCGACATTTTCACTTACACTGTGCTTAGCTTGGCGGCATTTTCACATTTTTTAATAGTTTTCACAAAATTGGAAAATTTCTCCAGTACAAAAACAGTCTAAACGCACTTGGTTAAACATTTGTACTAAAGCGGTGCTTAGACTGTGCTTAAACTTGGTAATTTTTTGAATTTTCAATCCAAAATTACAAAAATATTTTATGGAAAATAAAAATAATTGTAATAATTTTTTATCATCAAAAGCAATTATTTTGCTGAAACAAGCAGAAAGTTCTTTTAATCATTTAAATCGGACGCTTAGTTCTCTCAAAAACTGTCATTTTTTAACATCTAGCTCTGTATCTCCGAAACTGCTGGGCCTACCTTTGCCAAAAACTAATAACCTAATAAACTAATAAATAATAATTTCCCCGTCATTACGAACTGAATGTTTTTTGGATCATTCAAATCGGATGCTCCGTTCTCTCAAAAACTCGATTTCTATTTTCTAAGTATAAAATCAGTGCAAGAATGATAACATTCTAGATCCTTCCCCCACGAATTAAATCATAACCAGAGGCAAGGGCAAAGCGGAGGATTTAGTCGGTATTGAGTCTGACATACCCAGACAAAAGACCTAGTCTGGGGAAAATAAAGGCATTTCTTTTGCTATACACAAAAAAGGTCACAGACATCAATTTTTCTAAGGTATGCCGAAATGTTCAGAAACCTCTGATACGTATAAAGATATTATTATTATATTATTATTTTATATATAAGGTTGTCAAATATCTCCCTTCCGCTTTTTTGCTCTTGGTTTATAATACAAAAAGGCGGAAGGGGAGATATTTGACAAACCTTATATATAATATATATATATATATATATATATATATATATATATGATTTAGTAGTTAATTTTGATGTTGAAAATATGAGTGAGTTCTTGAGGGCGATACATCAAACAATTTGTTTGATGTATCGCCCTCAAGAACTCACTCATATATATATTATATTATTATATATTATATTATATATATATATATATATATATATATATATATTATATTGGTTGTCAAATATCTCCCTTCCGCTTTTTTGCTCTTGGTTTATAATACAAAAAGGCGGAAGGGAGATATTTGACAACCTTATATATAAAAAATTTTCAATTTCGATTTTTGAACGATTACAAAACTCACCCTACAGGAAATTAACAAACACCTTAATTTTTTACAAAAATATATTTCCTATCACAGCACAAATTTATTCCGATTGATGTATCATTTTAATTATTTATTTCCTTCAAGGTGGACAGAACTCCAACCGAATCATACTGGTCAATAAAATCCTCCAACTGCAATTCACCCATGATTCCTTGCAAAGCCTCCTGCAAGACGTCTTCAGTTGCCGTCTGGATGACTTCTATAGGATGCTTCTCCCAAATTTTATTATACAAGGGTTGTTCAGTTTCGCGTTTTGGAACTTTTTCCTGTACGCCAATGTGTTCTTCAACATCCTCTGGGGCACCTTGATCAATTTAACACCATCCTGGTCCTTGGAGTCGTGAGAGTTGACTCCTGATTTGGATCGTTTTTTTAAGGCGGCTTGAGACTTTTTACGCAATTTGGATGATGATCTTTTGCCCAAGGCTGATTTTGATCTGTGTCGACTCCTGTGAGTTTGTTTAGGAAGATCTGTTGATGGTTTTTCTACTGTATCGTCCATTGATTGGATGCAGAACAGTTTAGCGTTCTTGTCACCTATGCAAAGTGTTTCTTTAGCCGACTTGGATTCTGGTTTTGAGCTTGCAGGTTTTTGATGGTGTTTGTCATCCTCTTTTGCTGATAAAAGTTTGTTGCGTGCCAATATCAGTGTCAGGTCTTTAAGAAAAGGTTTCATTGTTTCTTGAACAACATTCCGGGCAATGCTTTCGATTTTTTCGTTCTCAACTTTAGGGCATGTTTCTTCCTTATCTAAATACAGAAGAAAACAATGACATTTAATGAATCGGGAGAGTACGCGATTGTCGTCGGCAATGTTTGCTCAGACATGTGACGTCACAGTTGAGCACTATATGAGCCGCTCAGTGCACACATCGACTAACTCCATTTTTTGAAAAAACTGAGATATTAGTGCGAAAGTACTCAGTGTAATCATAACTGTTAGTGATAATAATGACTTTTCGGAATAATTAAAATGAACACTGTGAAACATAATTATTTTTTGACCTCTGAATAATAAGTCATTTATTTCAGAAGACATTTTGATTAACTCCATTTTGTAGTGCATATGTTCCGGCTGGACCGGTTTTCGGGTTTCATGAATCACAAATAAGAATTTAATAAAAACATAAACCCTAAGATTGTTTGGCAAAAAACTGTAGAGTCTCAAGGATGTTACAAACTTACATACTAAAATTCGTGTACCCGGCAAAACAGAAATATTAAAACTGTCTTAAGTTTATTGAAACTTGTTTAAAATACGGAAATAAGAGCTAAGTCAATTGAAATGAAATTTCTGGTCAGTGGAAATAGCTATTTACCTATTGACTCTAGGTTATTGAGTCACGTGCAAAAAAAAATCGAGACATTTTTTCACTAGATAATTGGTACAATATAATAAAAACAAAGCCATTAGAACAATCACTAACAGAAAAGTAACCATTACAGAGTGTCCGGTAAATTTGCTTAAAATACGCTGGATAAAGTTAGAAATCTTATATAAGCTATAATGAAGATACGTATTTTAAAGCTATTAATATAAGAAAGTCTGTACCAGGTTAACCAAAATGTTTGAATAATATACAATAGTCAATATTATATTATAAAGCTAGAACTTTGAAAAAGGAAAAATTGAGAGACATAAAGGACTTGCTAAAATTCATTCCCCCCACTACGAAAAATTGACAGAAATTATTCTAATCATAATAGAATACAGCTGATAGAGAAAATATTATTTATACAATTACTGATTAATCACAAATAATATATTACAACAGTTAACATTTATTTTTATGAAAATGCTTTAACACAAATATATAAGAATTAGGTTTATTATTTTTTTTCAGTTGACAACTTGATTAACTCCACAAGTCATATCGAATCTTTAACTTGAATTATAATTATTTACTCACTATTTACTGTAATTAACCTTATATACCGTCACATGTAAGCTATATATGTATTTATACGTTCTACATTATATTTTCCAACTTATATTATTACAGGAATTTTTAAAAGCAATGTGCATTACTTCATCGCTTTTCTCCACTATCTGTTTTTTGGAGTTAGTCACTGTGTGCACTGAACGGCTCATATAAAATGGAAAACATATGAGGACTAGCACTCCATGTACTGCAATGTCTATAATTTTACTATAGTTATTTGTTGGTTACTTACCAATTTTGGCAGCCACTTCTCCCTCACTACTTTGTTCCGACAAAGCAGCCAAAGGCGAATTCATTTGACTCCTGCTCGGTTCCAAATTCAAATTAACATCCAATGGAATGTTCGATCTCCCTGAAGACATTTGTTTGCTATGTGCCGAAATAGATCTATTTGTTGTCATTTTCGACACAGGTGCAGATCTATGCTTCAAAACCTGATGTTCGTTAATACTTTGCAAAGAGTTCTTCATGTTCATCTTCTTCTTGGTGCCTAATTGTTTCTGGTAATACGGTGAGTAGTAACGGTTCTCTCGTAGTCATTGCTGATTTAGTGCTCTTAGGTTGCGATTTGTGACTGTCTACACGTTTTAATTTAATGCAATCGAAAGTTGGTACGTGCAATTCAGTTTTGGCATAGTTGTCTACATTTTGAAACAAACGTTGACAATCGCTATGCAGTTCATCCTGGTCCATGATACCTAGTTTGATACAACATTTGGTAACTTTTAAAAAATTCTTTGCTAAATCTCTTAATCTATCAGGTACCCGTTCTTCCAAAGATGTTGGTACATGTTTCAAATAAGCTTGAAGACCACGAAGAACCAGCTGGTGTGCGCTTAAGACTTTCTGACTAACATTTTTATCCAGAACTTGATACTTCTTACTGGAAATCTTATCGAACTTTGTTATATGTCTCTGCAGTTCGTATAAATAATTCCTGGAGAATCTTGAATAAAATTCCAGGTCGCGTTTACGTAATTTCAATTGTTCTTCTGGGCTGTTCGGTTCTAAGATGGTACGAGGAAGATTAACTTCTTGGAGGAGTAAACCGATTTTGGAACGTACAGATTTTAATTTGTTCTTGAATAAAGGATCTTCAAACGTTAAAAACTGAGGATTGGAATCACAACTTAAGGAACTGGATTTGGATGTTAATGGAACATCAAATTTGTGTGCGGACAGACAGTCATCGGAATTATAAAGCTTTTCGTTAGAAATGTATTCGTTACAATTTGTGTTGGTTTTATTTAAATTGTTTGTTTCTGGGAAAGTTTTGTTTACTGTTGAAGATTCTAAACTTGTTTTTTTAACATCCTGATCAGTGTTGACTGTTTGCGTTGAATCTATGGCCATTGCATAAGTACTAACTGCATTTTCAGTTTTTTCCAAAGCAATTTGCAAAATTTTTGTACAAACCTCTTGCAAATCCAGCTTGTCATCGTT